TCCTTGACATCTGCTTGCGCACGCGGTTAATATTTTGCATTGAATATAACGCGGATGACATTACAACCTTAAATGTGAATGGATATGCGCTATATACATTAATCATTCGACTATTACTCTTTTTCTTAATGGACTCTTTACAATTAATAAAATAATAATAATAATAAAAAGAATTATTATTATTATTAGCAACTTTGCAGGCACTATGTGACTGCTGTAACTTGTGAACTATAAATAAATAAACTTTTGCTTTATTATATAATTACTTTTGTTAAATTGCGCTGTACTCTCTTAAATATTGACATTTTTTTAAGATATAAGCTCATCCCGATGTTACACTCATCAAGAGCTTTCATTTGAGTACCCACATGCATTTTAGATATATATTTCATATATACATATATATAATATATATAAAATATATGAAAAATTGATGTGGGTATTCAAATGAAAGGTCTAGATGAGTGTAATGTCGAAAAGAGCTTATATCTTTAAAAATATCATTAGTTGACAAGATAAATGTCATTTTTTAATTATTGACATTTTTAAAAATATAATAAGCTCATCCCGATGGTACACTCATCAAGAGTTTTCATTTGAGTACCCACATGCATTTTGACATATTTTTTATATATACATATATATATAAATATATAAAATAATAATATATAAAATATATGAAAATTTGATGTGGGTACTCAAATAAAAGGTCTCGATGAGTGTAATATTGGGATGAGCTTATATCTGAATAAATGTCAATATTTCACAAGATACAAGGTAATTTCTCAATCATGTACCTAGAGATAGAGCATTGTTTAATGCAGCCTAAATACTTATAATAAATTAACTAAAAAAACCAACTCTATCATAAATTTTTCTTATTCTTTAAATGATATAGATTATTATTATAAAAATAATTTTTTTTTCCAACAAAAAAACCCAAGCGATTATTGATAAAATTTACTCCAATAGTTAAAATTGAAGTTCGGTAATTTTATTAGCTATTAACCCATTAAATTAATATATAAAATAAAAATGTCTGTAAAAGATAAATTACTTTAATGACAAATGATAAACATGTGCATCGACATACATATGTTACTACACATGTATGTATACATTAAACAATATGTGTAAAGAGTTTTAAAAATCTCAATCAACATATGTAACTTATGTCCAAGTTATAACTTGTCTTCTTTAAAATACTTGAACATTTGTGTTTGTATTTTATTTTAAACCAAGACTTAAATACGTATGAAGACATAATACATGTGTGAGTGTATAATCGACAAGTTTTTAAAATTTGAATTTTCTCATGCGGCATTACTGCCATCACCACGTGGCGAACGTCTGGATTTTGCCGCTGCTGGTTAGGTTCTCTACGGGGTCTACATCGGGAGTCACACGGCTCATATATATATATATATATGTACATATACATGTATACCTACATGTAATGTCTCAGATCTCAGACGACTAGTAAGAGAGTATATACATGTACAACACGTACGGGCGATCCAACGGCGAATAGAACGCGCTTTTCACCACGCGGTCACGCGTTTCTCGCATCACATCGCGACCACTCTAAATTCAAACATCCTTATCGTCTATTTCTACATCTATTTTTGCTAAAATAACATCATCTACATTCTTCAGACAGTATTTATATTTATATTTTAAACTTTAAATAAAAAAATAAAAATAAATACCCTGGACTATTATCGGAGGTTTAATTACCAAGACAAATTTATCGCAAATGTCACAATGACATTTGTCAAAACAATTGTTGCACTGATAGAAAAATTTGTTAATATTTAATAAGCTTTATTAACTTTTTATAAATGATTTTTTAACAACATAGAATTGAATAAATATTTATTAACATTTAATAAATTAAATTATTATAAGTAAATAAATATGACACTGAAGTTACCTAAAAATTTTTGATTTTTTTTTTATCAATGAAATTACAATTAAAAAAATATTTCTAAAAAATTGCACTTGTAGTTTTTCAAGTGTTTTTACATGTGCAATTTGTTTTTTTTTTTTTTTTTTTTTTGTTTAATTGAATTTCTTTCAATTAAAAATTTGAAATGTCGACTAACTTTATTTTCATTAATAAATGTCACTAAGTTAGCACACAAAAAATTTTTGATTTTTTTTATAAATTAAATTACAACTAAAAAAAAATTCTAAAAAATTGCACTTATAGTTTATCAAGTTTTTTACAAGTGCAATTTTTTTAATTGTTCAATTGAAATTTTTTCAATAAAAAATTTTGAAATGTCAGCTAACTTTATTTTCATTAAATGAAAATTAAGTTATCCGACATTTAAAAATATGTAGAATTTTTTTTTATTGAAAAAATGATTTAAAAAACATATTCATTTGTAAAAAACTTGAAAAACTGTAAGTGCAATTTTTTAAAAATATTTTTTTGTTCTAATTTAATTATTAAAAAGTCGACTAACTATTATTTATTTTCATTAATAAATCCTTTTGTGTAATTTTAACTCTCGAAATTATCCAATTGTTTTATAAAAAAAAAAAAATTAATGAAAGTTAAATTCCTGATGACTGTCTTGTTTATTTTTTGCGCGGAAGTGACTGCATGCGAGTAATCTCTCTAAAAAAAAAAAAATATTAAAAAAAAGAACCTTGCCGGGCAGAGGGAACTTTTTTTTTGTCTAGGTCCGGATAAGACGTTCCCTTAGATTTTTTTTATGCAAACAGAGATAACGAAATTTTATTTATGTAAATATAGACTTATATAGATATAAATGTTATATTAAGGTATGAGTATTTTATTTATATAACTGAAGTGTGAAGTGCAAGATTACGCGGCGTCTTATCCTAGCTTGGAAAGCATAGACAATTAATTATTTATTCGAGGCCGTTAAAATGTTTACTGTTTTCCGGAAAAAATTCATTTCGTATGATAATGATAAGTTATTTAAACAAGCCATGAGTTTCAGCTATTCACTATTCATTATAGTGTACTGTAATAAATAAAATATAAAAAGCGGTATGGGTCTAAATAAATTATACGGGCTCAAGGAATGCTAGCACATCTGTACTGGAGAACCTTCGACTTTGTATTGCTCTTAGGTAGCGAGTAAATTCGAGCTAAGTGAAGTTTACATAAGTTGAGTATGTAAAATCGATTTGAAGTAATGCTAAACTTGACTCAGGTGTTAATATGTCATGTGAAATCAGACCTTTAATAAATAATAAAAAAAGTTTCGTTAATACACGACTTTACCAATAAGTGTATTATAATATCAAGACACTTTACTTTTATTTATACTGTTATGTATTAAGTGTTGCCCAATCCAGTCACACGATCCTATCTACATCTATATGTTCATATCTCCCGTATTCCACGGACTAGTCAGCGTCCAGGAACCGAGCTTTTTTATTTGTTATTTCATTATTTCATTTTTGACCGTTTCATCATAGTGCGATAAAACGTGATACTGAAAATAGCAAACATCCGATGATTTTTTTTTTTGTAAACAAGTTATATAATAAAAATAGTTATAATAATAATAATTATTATTATTATTAATTTTTTATTTTTTTTATTGTAGAAAATTAAAAATTCCCGCTATTTTTAGTTTGTGCGAAAAATTTCTAAAGACGTTTAAATTTATGAAAAATAAGTTAGCTGACGTTTAAAAATTTTTTATTGAAAAAATTAATAAAAAAAAATTTTTGTTTGTAAAAAATCTTTAAAAATTGTAAGTGCAATTTTCAAAAAATATTTTTTCGTTCTAATTTAATAATTAAAAAAAAAAAAATAAAAATAGTAATAATAATAACAATAAATATTATTATAAATTTTAAAATATTTTTTTTTATTGTAAAAAATTAAAAATGCCCGCTAGGCACTGCTATTTTCAGTTGGTGCGAAAAATCTCTAGTAGAAAGACAATTAAAATTATGAAAATTAAGTTAGCTGACATTTAAAAATTGTTAGAATTTTTTTTTATAGAAAAAATGATTAAAAAAAAATTTTCTTTTGTAAAAAAAAAGTAAAAAACTGCAAGTGCAATTTTAAAAAATATTTAGTTTAAATTTAATAATTAAAAAAATCGGCAAAGTTAACTTTAATATTAAATTCTCAGTCAATGTGCATCATAAGTATAACCCATCCAATATTCTATAAAAAATAACGAGCTCTCAACTGTACGGGAAATTCGGATAAAAGATAATAAAAAATAAAAAAGCATCATGACAGCTGCGCGCGAGATGTGCGCACTTAAAAAAGGAAGTCAGAAAGAGGGGATAAAACACACACCGAGTTTGGCGAGTCGTCAACGTTATACCTGCAATTTTTTTCCAGACGCTATTAACAAAATCTCAAAGCGTAATTACTCATTTGTCATTAAAACTGACGATCTATATCTACAACATAACTAAATGAACAGTCTTATCTAAAAATCAAATGAAAAATAAATTAGCGCCAACTTTGCTTAATTTTTGACAGCAATACTTAATTATAATAATCACAATAAATATTAAAATAAAATAAAAAAAATAGACATACCTGTCCGATCCATGGCTATCCTCTGGTCAGTGTTAACAGCTGCAGACGCCAGCATAGTAGTATTATATCGAATAAAAAAATGTATTTATATTATTTGAGAGAATCGGCAACCGAATTTAGTCCCACCAACACTCTTACTCTTGTCGCCGTAGATTTACGAAATCGTGACCGTTTTATTTCTTTGTCAGGTAGACAGCAACTTCAAGGACGCTTGTTGGGCCCTCACAACCACTTTTAACAATCACAAAAACTATTATTAATTTATTAATATTCAAATAATTATTTAAACAGTATTTAACAGTAATTGTTATTATTTATTTTAATACGCGCGTTAAATTAACCTCGAACGCGTGGCCGGTCTCACGTGCTGTCACTTTAGTTTAAAAAAATAATATTTTGTTGAAAAAAATTTATTTATCAGTCAATAAATAATATTCCAGCCACAAGAGAACTAAAATCCCAACTGACAATGTGAAAAGCTAGAAATATTTAAAACAAATTCACTTTGACACGGCAACACGCGGTAAAATGACGTCGGCGTCCGCTTGCCTGATAAGCGACGCAATGTTTGACAGAACCGCACTGTTATTATTTTCTCTACCACTTTTTTTAAGGTATGTATTTTTTTTATTATTTATTTTAAGTTTTAACAAACTTAAAATAATTTTTTATTATTATTATTATTATTATTATTTTTAGTCAAGATATTTATTTTTTATTGAATAAAAACTAACAGATAAATTCACTTTCTTCAGAGGACTGACTGATTGGTTGACTGGCTGAACATTGAACAACAAAAAGAAATAAATAATAAAATAGTTGGTGAGGTTGTGAAACGAATGCCGAATTGCGACTGAAGCTCGAGTCTGCTCAGAGGTAGCACGCCGACGCCGGTTGACAGTAAAGCTAAAGACGACGCTGAATTGAACGCCCCCCCTACTCCGCGCGGCTCTGACAGAACAGCTTATCCCTACCAATTGGAGCAGCCATTGCCAGTTGGCGGGAAAATTTATCCTATGACAGCTGCCGAGGGTACTAACACACCCAAGAACATGTCGCCCTACTCTTTGTGTCAACGTAAGTACTTACAAGAATATTATATATCTTATTTCTTATTTAACTTTTATTATATATGTACTGTATATTGTCTCTACTGTAGTAAGTTATATTATGTGTGACATGTCTAGACTAATTTGCCGATTTACAACTTATTTTTCTCATTACTGAGTGAAGACGGCTAATTTCAGGGGCCTTAATCACCTGGGTCCTTTGTCCAGGTTTAAAGAAATTTTCGACATTGATGAATCTAACAAAGGTTATTCTGAGAAAATCTGTTTTAAATATCAGGATTAGGTTCTGAAGGGTAGTAATTACTATTCTTATTTTTTCTTGTTATCTTCGTACACTTTATGCATGATGGAATTATTGGGATTTATTTATTGCACTTGGGCTTTTATTTTTGTTCGTAATTTTTCGAGGAATTTTAATTGTTAGTTAGTTAGTTAAGGAATTAAGTATTGTTTGGAAAGAAGAAGGTGGAGAAGTAAATTAGAAAATTGCAAATGTCATTGCGTATTTTTGTGAAATTGTTAAGGAGAAGAATAGAGCAGCAGCATATTTTATTTTATTTCATAAGTTTTTGCAATAAAATGGAAATATTTATTTTAGTAGTTAGCCGACATTTTTAATTATTAAATAATATTTTTGAAAAATTGCACTTATAGTTTTTAAATTTTTTTGTAATAATTTTTTTAATAAAAAAAAATTATAAAAAATTTTAAATGGCTAACTTAATTTTCATAAATTAATAATAGTAAAGTTTGCCGACATTGGTAATTTTTTGAGTTATTTTTAGGAAAATTTATGTAGCACATATTTAATAATTTTAAAAATTTTATAACAAATAAATTATGGCAAAAAAAATTGACATTTAAAAATTTAAAAAAAAATGCAATTTTTTTTTTAAATAATTTTTTGGACAAAATCTTTTTGTTAAGGAAATCCTTTCGCTCCAGTTGAGTCAAAACAATTGTAATAGTCAATATACGATAAATTAAAATAAAAAACCCATAAAAATTCCTAAAATTAAATAATAAATAGTATATGAGGCATTAATCGTTGAAATTATAAAAATAAAAAAAAAAAATAGTTAAATACAAAAATTAATTTGACTCTTTCAAATCAGCTGCTAGTAACCTGTCCGTGATTTGGCAACGCTGTACTTCGGTTGTTTACATTTTCATTTGCCCAATGTAACCTTAAACACGTTTAAGTTTTTGCAGTCAGTGTAAATAAATAAATTAGTTTGAATTTATTGAATGGTCTGAAGCTCGCGCGCTACGCAACGTTGCCAAATATTTTGACTCCATATTAATGTAGGTTACTTGAGAATTTTTTGTGATTTTTAAAATTAATTTCTCAATAAATATCTCGGTAACTGATATATTTTATTGCAAAAAAAGAAACCTGAATATTTCGAAAATCTAATTTTTAGTTTTTTTTTACTTCATCTAATCCATGACTGATAGTATATAATTCGAGAAATACTGCAAACGTCTGACTTTCTCGTAAGACTCTGAACAAATACTAGCATTTAAAAATTTTATTTTTTCAAAAATTTCTCCGGTAAAGTATAATTTAAACCTCACTATTAGATAAATAAGGACTTCAACTATTAGAAAAAAATTTAATTTACTCATAATCTAATATTTTTTATTTTACATTGGCGGCGAAAGGACCTCCTTTTAAATAAAACTAAAAAATTGTCAAGTGACAGCTAACTTTAATGTCATGTTATTATGAAAATTAATGTAGCACATGTTTAATAATTTTAAAAATTTTATAACAAATTAGGGCAAAAAAAATGACATTTAGATATTTATAAAAATAAAAAATGCAATTTTTAAAAAAAAAATCTTTTTGTTAAATAAAATTAAAAAATTATCAAGTGACAGCTAATTTTAATGTCATATAATTTTTTAACTATTAAATTAGAATTAAAAAATTGCACGTATAATTTTTAAATTTTTTTAATAAAAAAAATTTTAGATAGCTAACTTAATTTCCATAAATTAATTTAACTAATATTTGATAATTTTTGTAACAAATGGATTATGACCCGAAAAAAAATTGACAAATCTTTTTGTTAAATAAAATAAAAAAATTGTCAAGTGACAGCTAACTTTTTTTTTTTTTTTTTTTTTTTTTTTTTTAAATTTGTTTAAAGTCGCATAAACTACTAAGGTCATGAGCGACTACGGTAGGGGGTACACTTTTGAGATTGGAACTCGTTTGTATTTCTTGGGCTGAGCAGAATAATATACACTTAAATATTGAAAATATTCATTGGTGTACGCCGGATTCGAACCCGGTCCAATGCTTTGGTAGCAAGGGCCGGATCCGATAGGCTACTGCGCGCCTCTAGCTAACTTTACTGTCATCAATAAAATTTAAAATAAAAGGGATTATTGTAAATTGAGATTGACAATAACTTTTGTCGTGATTAAATTTATGCTGGCTATATATATGTATGAGAACATCAGCACAATGCAAGTACTGTGTAATCATAATGTAGTTGACAATATTACAATGTAGATAATTTATAGCTAGAGACAAAATTTCAAGATCGATAAGTAACTGCTTGGAACAAAATTATAATAATTTATTATTAGATAAATCAAAAAAATTTTTTTCAGATTATTTTTGATCACTGTGATTAGATATATTTAAGTTAAAAATTTTGAAATAATCTCAAAGTATTGAAAGTTAAAATTTTTAAACTTAAGTTTCTCGTAATTGAAAGGCTCAACTTCACCTAAGTGCATTTTAATAGCTTCAGCGATAAGAACTTCAATTTCCTTTTTTTAAAACTTTTGTCACGGCCTTAAACATTAACGTTATGCAATTCATGAATTAACTGAGGATTTTAATGCATAAGTAAAGTTTAATTAAAGTTTGATTTTTATCTGTCAAAGTAAAAAGTATATACTTAATAATAATGATAGTAATGATGTGTCAAACAAAATCAAATGACACTTGTCTTATTGTCAATGATAATTGTTTAATTTAAAATAAAATAATTAGGGTACAAAAAATAAGGGAGCGATAGACTTTTGACCGTTGTGCAATGTTGGTTACGTAACTAGAGATATGGTAAACGCAAATGGGTAATAACCCCTTCCTCGGATAATATCTATTCATACATCGAAAGTAACTAAGCATATTTAGCATCAGCGTAACTAAAGTTAGTTGAAAAAAGTAATATATGGTGACATGTTAAAGAGTACGTTAGATCGAATGGAACCCTTGGGCAAAGCTGCGAGGGTCTGCATTCCCAAGTTCCCGACAGTCTCAAGAATTTTCTCCTCAGTGGGGGTCTGTCACATGTTTTACGCTAAAAAAAAAAAACGCTAAAAAAAAAAACAATAAGTATAAATATAAATAATAAATTTTACCAAGACAAAAAGTTTGATGAAGAGGAAATAAACTTTCTCATCTTTTAATTTTTTCATTGCCCGATGGGATATGATACCAAGTCTTGTCTAGTTGAGCTCAGAAGATTAACTCATGTCCGCTTTAATGTCGATTATGTCCTTGTGGTGCACAAAGCCGTAACGTAATTTACACGCTACGTAATACTTGTTTATATGTAAGTATGTAGAAAAAATTAGACATATGTATATGTATATTGAATCGTCTAGGCTCTAGTCTGTCCAACACCAGTATGATCCCGCGTACGCTGGAAAGTAGCGTTTTATGAATGGAGCACGCCCACGAAGCGCCGGAAGCCACTTGTTTTCCACGTTAGTCCTCTTATAGTATATAGACATGTATTTGTAAGTATATACATGTATATAACTACTGACAAGAAGCTTAACATCGAATACAAAGCACCTCTGATCTGTTAACATAAACTTCTTTTTTTTTTTTTTCATTATTTTATTTTTATTATTGTTGTTTTTTATTTTTATTTTTTATCTCACGTTTTTAACATTAGGATTAACATATTTTTATTTTAGCAATCTTCGTTATTATTATTATTATTATTATTATTATTGGGTTGAAATTGTTTTTACTTATTTTTATTTTAATTTTATTAAAAAATAATATTTTGTTTTAATAATAATAATAATTTTTAATTATTGATTAATTAATTAATAATATTATTAATAATTAAGAAATGACATTGAATCTTGTCAACTATTGACATTTTAAAAGATATAAGCTCATCCCGATGTTACACTCGTCGAGACCTTTCATTTGAGTACCTACATCAATTTTTCATATATATATATATATATATAAGTCATTATTTAATAAAGTTATTATTATTATTATTATTATTATTATTATTATTATTATCGGGTTAAAATTTTTTTTACTGTTTTCTAATTTTAATTTTATTAAAAAATAATATCTTGTTTTAATAATAATAACAACAATAATAATATATTAATAATAAAATAAAATTATTATTTTTAATAATTAACAATTATTATTATTATTGTTGTTGTTGTTATTATTTTATATTGTCTAAGTTCATATCACGTGCGATGTAACTCATGTAACAACGACCTGTTCGGTCCTTGATTGTGTATGAAGAAATTGAGGTTACTAAGGTCATAACATCGACATCCGGACGATATTAATAATAATAATAATAATTTACAAATAGTACATATAAATAAAAAATAAAAGAGAAATAGAGAGGAAAAATAATAAAAATGACTGTAGCAAATTCATTTTATAAATTCAAGTACAATCATACCAATTATTTTAATTCGTGTCCTACATAAGTTTATTATTATCGCATCCTCTTACGTTAACTGTTAGGAAATTTATAAATATATTTATATGGAGAAATAAAAAAAATCTAGGAGTGATAAAAATATAGAGTGAATTACCGAGAGGGAGAGAAATAAAATTGAGAGTTAATATATGAATGATTAAAATTAAAAAGGTTGGGTTTATCGTAGGTCGGCAATCGAGTTGACCTTATAAAAAAAAACCTTTAGCTAAGATTGTTTAAACATTAACTATTTATATTTATATTTACTCTAATATTAACATACAACTCTTTTATCTTAATGACGTAGATTATCGTGTTGATACTGGAGCAATTTTACAAAAGAAGAAATAATACTAAATTGTACTGTAAATTATCTAAGATATTTTTTAAATTTACTTTTTTTTTAAATAGTTATCTGATAGTACACAATACTCATCTTAAACGTACGGCAAACATCGTATGTGTGTTATAACTTAAGACACTTCGTGTTCCGAATGATGAATATTGAATTTTTTTAATACACAGGTCATTACTCTTTGATATCGTTTTATCATAACTTATAGCAACATTTTTGGCCGT